ATACATATATGTATATATATACATATACATATATATACATATATATATATATACATATTTATATATTTATATTTATATTTATATTTATATTTATATTTATATTTATATATATATTTATGTTTATGTTTATGTTTATGTTTATGTTTATGTTTATGTTTATATTTATAATTATAATTATAATTATAATTATATTTAAGGGCCCATATAAGGGGGCAGGTGCCTAGTGTCACTTCAGGCGGCTGTTTTGCCGGACTACTACTACAACAGATAGCACTCTGCAACAGTTAGTCTTAATGTTAATGTCCCAAAACGGAAACAATAAGAGGCAGTATCCTCCATATACATACACAACGTTGCAAAATTAGAAAGAGAAAACCTCAAAATGTTCAAAAGGACATGAGGTTTGGAGAAGATAAAATTTGAACGACTCATCAAGTCTGTCGGCAAGTCCAACTATATATTTTGTTTCGTACGAAAATGATGTAAGACGAAAGACGTATGTTGAAGACTGTCCGTGGTCTTGAAAGACTTTAACATTCTGTTTTTTTCCTCTTCATTCTGGATATTGAACTATATATAAAGACTATTTATTCTGTCAGACTACAAGGTATTCCATGTTGAACACCATGTAGTGTTTTTGACTTTTATAGTTTATGTTAGTGTTTTAAAATATAGGTTAGGGATTTTGCATCGCTTTTAATATTAGATAAACATGGATCTGCCTTGTAATGTACTGAACCCAAACACAGTATCTATTTTTAGAAGAAAAAAAAGATAGAATCGTGATTTCATATTTTGCGTTGCATATGCAATATTTTAAACACTGGATTGCATACATAAATAAATATTTACATAAATACTATGTACCACTTATCAGTCCATCTCTTCGCTGTAGGCTGTGATTACTAGATAATAGTGATACACGGCTGTTTGCATTCCGACTGGTTTCAATGTTATTCCTGAAGTTCAGCTGCGGCACCCAGTGTGAATGGTGTATGTGAGCCGCACTTCATATCGATTGGTGGAAACGCTATCAACGGTGTATTATTTTGAATTTACTAAAAATAAAACGAAATTAAGTGGACCGAGGCATTTTAAAATGCGGGACGGTACTGTATTTGATTGGCTTAGATCTGATAGATAACATGCGACCAATGGACATTGTACACTACACTACACTTACGATTCTGGATATTGTACAAATACATATTTATACATATTCCAGCAGAAAAGGCAACATGTACGTGATAAACAGATAAAGGGCCATTGACGGTGTTCTTGAAGTCACAGTTCGTAAGTGCTCTCAGTATCTATAGCGTCATTTTCATTTCAGAAAATACTTACCCTCTCTACTAGAGAGAGAGCGAAAGAGAGACCGGATTCGCATTTATATATTCCGCTTCCTCTTGATCGTGCAGTTACTCTCACTTGCCCTTGGAAATCGCACATTCCCGTATTTGAAGTTCATGCTCCCTTCGATGTGGCAATAAAACACACGTCTAGTCGTCATCACGCTGAAGAAAGAAGGAGCAGTAGGCCACTTCACTTCGAATAGACAACAGAAACGGATCGCTGGACATAAGTCGAATCGAACTTGTATATATATATATATGTAACTTTTCTGTGTATATCTGCACATACAAATACACATTGGCAAACATAAGTCGAATCAGTGAGTATGCGGCAGTCAGGCTCAGTTAAAATAGCAAGCTCACCTCTGGGCAAAACCAGCAGTCCCTCACTATCACGTAAAGCATTCGATGGGGCAACAAATGCGTCAGGAAAAGCATTCCCAGAAGTGCCCAAACGGCCAGATAAAAGTAAATATACCAGTAATCTAGCTAAAGGAGGTGGCGCGGTGACCAATATAGTTGTACCTCAGAAGAATACAGTGATAGAGGAAACACTTCCGAAGATCGATTGTAATACTGAAACTCAAAAGGTAGCTGGCGGTGGAGCGGATCTAGTTGCTAGTGGCGTGGATGACAGCAGGACAGCTGCTAAGGAACTCCCGGAACCACATAACTTTGTATTCATAGAGGATTATCAGTCACCTCTAGTGTTATCCACACTACAAAGACGTTCAAGCGGTACAGAATCAATAGAATCCAAACAGGAGAAAAGGGCGGCCAAAAAAGATCGACATAAATTTGCCCGTAAATTCGGCAGTCTATTCCAAGATAACGTGGATAGGGGACTGATTGAAGCCAAACTAATCAAGAATGGGTCATTACAATCATCGACTTCTTCTAAAAAGACAGATAACATACTGCAGAGCACATTCAGGAACGTCGCAAGACGAAATACGGCTAAGGTATGAATGGACGTCGTGATACTTGAAATTTACGTACAATTGCAATAGTTATACAAATGTATATGAATAGACACACACAAAAACCACACACACA